AAAACTGAAAACGATATGATTTTATAGTTATAATAATTCGTCTTAACGGAATTTTTTAAAAATAATTTTTAGATTTTAGAAATACCATATTGCTTTAACAGTGAAACGAAATCTGGAGCAGAGTTCATTTTATCTAACGAGATCTACTAGCCCACTGTGCAATGTGCTATTCAAATAATGCGACGTCTCTAAGTCTCAAACGTACATTCAGCGATGATTTGCCAACGATTTCTTTCTTGTTTTGCAATTAATAATTTTCAATATGTTGCATTACTTGAACAGCACATTGCACAGAGGGCTGGCAGGTCCCTTCTTTACTCAACCAGAACTCATTTTTTATGCAATAAAAAACGTATTCAAAATTACCGCCCAAAACTGAATCGAATGCTGTATTTTTTCATCCTTCCCGGCAACTTTCGTTTTTTTAGAATTTTCGTGGTGTGAAAAATACCTATTTCACCAAAAAAACTTTAACAAACAATTTGGAACTTTACCTTTCCAAACATACAGAATTCCGACTTTTTTGCTTCGGATGCGTAAAACACGAGTTCTGGTTGAGAAAATTTAGACTAACGGGCAGAATTCCGAGCTTTTCGCTCATGATGTAGAAAAAATGAATTTTCTCAATGACGATATAAAATTAAAAAAAAGCGATACGTCATGTTAAAGCTGACAGTCAGACGGTTTGAATGAGGTAAGAAAAATATCACCATGTATTCACATCAAAAACTAGACAGGTTTGCAAAATGGCCTGCTGTCATTCGGGAGGGTCGGTTCATGTACAGCTGGCTACATCAGCTTTAAGATTTGAGATCAATCAACCATCTTCTCTACACTCAGTTTTCAATGCTGAATTCAGAAAAAATTAGTTTGAAAACTTAAAAGTAAACAGAAAACGCAAAATTTGAATCATTTGAAACTGCAGCGATTTTTAACAAAATCGGTCCTTTGAAACTTGTCAAAATTTCACCCTCAAAAATTAAAATTAGCTTTTTCTTACTCAGCTCGGTGTCCTCTATCAAACCATGTATAAATAAATCAAAAAGAAAAAGTTACTAAATTACAGGTTTAAATTACAGGCACCTTACTTGAAAGTTGAAAGTTAAAACGGAATTTTCCTACAGTTTTTTATTAAAAAATATAATAGTCCCTAAACAAGTGTGATGAATGATGAATAATAGCTATTCATAAATTATCATTATATTCTTCATTGCAATTGCATAACGAAACATTCATGTTTATATAATCTCTTACTAGTTCAGTTAGATGAAACTGGGAAACATGAATGAAAACCGCTGTTTTTCTTACCTCATTTTGTAACGATATTTTTGTTCAAGAATAAAATAAAAAAACGGCAGAATTGGATATTTTTATTGATATAGAAAATACTACTTTTATACAAATACTGTTGTCTTTCTATTTAGCTGAAAAGACAGCTGTTCAACGAATTTATTGGACATGAATAATATTTTGTTTTATAATCGCAAGGAGAAAGACAGCGATAAATGATGAGTAACCATTATTCGTCATTTAACGTTCTTATTGAGTAATTATTATTTATTTCTCTATCCGATTCCAAAAAGACAATGAGTAGTGATAATAGTGGTCCACTCACTGGTTCCAATCCTGTCTCACATAGAATACAGTTTATGAATATAATCAGTATTATATCATCGACAGCTACTCGAAATACACTTAATTTAAAACATCCTCAACAGTATGCTGACGAGTAAAATTTAGTCTGATATTGCAGTAACTAAGAGGGACCTTTTTTCTGAAAAGTGGATCGATACACAGTACAATTTGTGGACTTGATACCAGTATAAAAATTTAGAGTACTCTATTATCTGAAAAAATATTATTGTATATTGTGTGATCGTACAAGAAAAAATCGTAGTTCTTAATGTATGATATTAGTTACATTTAGTGTACATATTATGTAATTTGTGGGCAATTTGTCTATATATTGTTGTCTACTTTGCAGTAAATAATTCTTAAAGAAAAACAGACTAACACGTATACAAATTATGCGAAATTAACTTCTTCTATCGAGAAGAAAATGAACAAATTTTAGGAAAAAATCAGCTGAATTGCCATTTGGCATTAAACAAGAGACATGCCGTTTCTATTTTATTTTATTTGATCATTTAAGTCTTAATTTGAACTCTTTAATAAGACAGGACCCTTTTCCACTTCTTACACTAATTTAAAGTACAAAAAATATACTACATATTGATCTCTTTTATAAAACGATTCCTTTCCGTTTTTGAAACATAGAGGTGGCAGTATGACAGATTAAAGCTAATAAAATGTATAGGTTTCTCTTAATTTACGTGGTTCCGCTGGCAAAAATAAAAGTTGGACCTGGACTCCTCTGACCACGCTGTGACGTCATCAAGAAAGTTATTGTGATCATTCCAAATTCGTGAATTTAGATCATTCTAAAATTAAAGTGAAATCCGAACACTATCATAACTTAAATGTGTGATATTGACTACTCTGTATCATAATATACTAGCTGAGGTACCCGACTTTGCTCGGGAAAATTTGATATTACATACTTGACATATTAGAAAAGACATCGTTATGGTCTCCTATCAGTTATCGGACTAAGATATCGCAAAATGCGCTCGGATCACTTTCCCTTTTGAACTTTTTGTTTTCGTCATTTTAAACTTTTTAAAAACATTTTTATCTTTTCGATGTTCTTTTTGCTTGATCGGCTTCTTTTATAACACGGAAGGGTGAAGTTCTCGAGGTGAAACTCGGAGTTGAGAAAACACGGAGTCTGTCGAGATAAATCCTGAAGTTCTCGTGGAAAAAGATCCAGTTGCTCAAGAGAAATGATGAAGTTCTCGAGGTTAAACTCTCGAAGAAAAGATCAAGTTTCTCGAGAGAAAAGATGAAGTGCGCGTGAAGAAGCTCAGCGTTTCTCAAGCCGTGGATACTAAAACAATTGCTATAAAAGCTGCTCTTAATGATGAATTAGGTAGACAATATTTAAAATGCGCTAAATATGACAGAGTGTGTTTAATGGCGTCCAAATCGCAACACTTTCCACAACAACACTCAAGTATAGCCATTGACCATATATTTTTACGAGATATCCATGTTGAAAAAAAGAATTATAAACTTGGCATAGAATGCAATAAAAAGCTTATTGTGGACAAGTTTCTGAAGAGAAAGGATGAATTTCTCGTGAAGAAACATCGAGTTCCTCAACAGAAAAGATGAAGTTCTCTTGAAAAAGATTCTCTTGAAAAGATGAAGAGTCTCGGAGTTTCTCAAGAGAAAAGATGAAGCTCTCTTGAAAAAAGATCGAGTTTCTCAAGAGAAAGGATGCAGTTTCTCAGGAGAAAAGATGAAGTTCTGGTGAAAAAAGATAATTTAAATCATCCAGCCGCCAAAGCATTACACAGATTGCATGAACTTGACAAATATCTTAAAACCCAATACCTGGATAATAAAATAATTCTTGTAAAAGCTGCTTTTAATGATGAGTTAGGTAGACAATATTTAAAATGTGCTAAATATGACAAGACGCGTTTAATGGCTGATGATTCGATAGAGTGCAAATCACGATACTTTTCATAACAATACTCAGGTATAGCCATTGACCATATACTTATAGGAGATATCGAAGAAAAGAATTATAAACTTGCCATAGAATGCAATAAAAAAGCTTATTGTTGACAATATTACATGATTATGCGCTATTCACATGGTTAGCTGCGCTAGACATTCCTCTACGACATAGCGGAGAGCTTTTCCCGAAATTCGGTTTTCTCGCTGAGAGAAGTCTACTTTACTGGGAAAAATCGAAATTCTGACCCTAACTCACAACTTTGTCCATCAGAACTCAACTTTCACGTAATGAAAATATCATACTCGGTATCAGGATCCAAAGTCGAGTCGATTAATGTCCTTTTCTATCTTATTTGATCACTTTGACTTTTTTTGAATCTTCTTGTCGAAGAATTAAGTTCTTACTGAGATTTTCACAAAAAAAAATGCAGATCAACGAAAAAATTTGAAATATATAACATTCGACTCGATTTTCGATCCTGATTCCGAATATGATATTTTCATTACGTGAAAGTTAAGTTCTGACGGACAGAGTTGCGAATTAGGGTCATAGTTTCGATTTTTCCCAGTAAAGTAGACTTTTCTGAGCGAGGAAAAGCGAGGGCCTAGCGCATCTGACCATGTGTTAGGGAAGTGAATAAAAGAGAAAAGGAGCTTGCGTTTAGTCAGTTTCTCGAGAGAAAAGACGAAGTTCTCATGAGGAAACGTGGAGCTTCTCAAGACAAAAGATGAAGTTCTCGTGAAGAAACATGGAGTTTCTGAAGAGAAAGGATGAAGTTCTCTTCAAAAAACATCGAGTTTCCCCAGAGAAAAGATCAAGTTCTCGTGAAGAGACTCGGAGTTTGGCAAGAGAAAAGCTAAAATTCTCGAGAAGAAACACGGAGTTTCTCAAGAGAAAAGGTGAAGTTTTGATGGATCTTGAGATTTGGAATTTTACGTGAGGAACTCGGAGTTTTTCCACCAGAGCTTCATCGTTTCACTAGAGAAACTCCATGTTTCTTCACGAGACCTTAATCGTTTCTCTTGACAAAGTCGATCTTTTTTCACGAGAACTTCATCTTTTGTCCTGAGAAACTCCGAGTTTCTTCACGAGAACTTCAGCCAAGTCTTGATACAATAAGCTTTTTTATTGCATTCTATGCCAAATTTATAATTCTTTTCTTCAACATGGATATCTGGTATAAATATATGGTCAATGGATATACTTGGGTGTTGTTGTGGAAAGTGTTGCGATTTGGACGCAATTAAACATGCTCTGTCATATTTAGCACATTTTAAATATTATCTACCTAATTAGCTTTTATATAACACCGGTGCGTAATTCTAGTGACTTAATGTGGTCACCATTCATTAATTTATCATACAATAGTTGAATGTTTATGCCTTTCAATTGATGTTGTTGAATTGTGGTTGAGTCAAATCGAGAAGTAATGGCCATTGTCGTAGTGCGAATGTTGTCCACTCATTAAATCTAACTGTTGATCAGCAACATCGTCGGGTTTGTGAGCTGGATACCTTGAGAGACAATGCGCAACACAATTTGATTTACCCGATGTGTGTCTAATGTTAAATGAATACTCTTGTAGTTGCAATGACCACTGATCTAATCGACCGATTTAAGATGATTGTTTATTTAGCCAACATAATGGATGGTGGTCTGTAAGAACGGTAAAATTCCGCGCATATAAGTAAGGATGCAACTTAGGAATACACCAAAGCAATGCTAGACATTCTTTTTCTACTGTTGAATACTTCTTCTCTCTGGGTGATAATGACCTTGATAAATATTGGATTGGTCTAAGTTTACCATCTTCCATAACTTGATGTAAAACACCACCAAGACTACAGTTGAATGCATCCGTATTTAATTTTAGTGTTAGTTTTGATTTACCATCATCAAATGCCAACAGTGGATATTGTGATAATCGTTGTTTCAATATATCGAATGCATTTTGGCATTGTGTCCAATCGAAGGTAGCATTCTTATTTTTAAAGGCATTTAATGGGGCTGCTATTGTAGCAAAATCATGAATAAATCAACGATAAAATTGTGCCATTTGAATGAATGAATACGCTGCTTTCGTTATGGTTGGTGTTGGAAAATTTAATGTTTTGCTTACATTGGTGGTAGTTGGTTTGATTCCATTTCATGTAATTCGATATCACAAATAATCTAGAGTGCCTTGGGGTAATTATGGTCAGCTCCTCAAAATTTCGTCGTATTTCTCCTGTAGTTCGCTCAATTTTTATCGGAGAAAAGCGAGATTTTACAGGTAAATAGAGGTGACTCCTGGCTATCAATTGATGTAAAAATTTTCTTAAAATTCATTAGCGTTAATTAGTACTAATCAATTTCCAGAGAGTACCTTTCGATTGACCATAATTACCCCATTTGGGGTAATTATGGTCAATACAGCAAAAATGGCTGCGATCATCTTAAGTTAACTTAGTTTCAACGGGGAATTTTAAGGTAAATAATTAAAAATTATATCATCTTGTAGAGAATTTCAAGCTCTATC